CCCCAGGCCCAGCTAAATTTGTTTTGCATGTTTAGTAGAGATGGGGTTTTACCATGTTGGCCAGGCTGGTCTCGAACGCCTGACCTCAGGTAATCCACCCACCTCGGCCTCCCAAAGTGCTGGGGTTACAGGCGTGAGCCACACACCTGGCCAGTAATTTACTTTATATATATACACCTTAAAAAAGAAAAGAAAAATAATCCTATCGAGAGTGCATTTATTAAAGATCAGGTAACTTGTTGCAGAGAAAATACACTCAATAAAAAATTCATTCTCTCTAGTATTCAAATAAAAGGCAGATAATACAATGAACTACTACTTTCACCAATCAAAATGGCAGGGAGTTTTTTCTTTACTATTAATAGAGTAAGATGAAGTGCAAGGAAATAGGCACTCTCATAAGGTTTCAGTGGGAGTATATATTGGTGTAATATTTCCAGCGAATAATTTAGTAATATATATGTCCTTATAATTGTATATATTTTTGACCCAACAATTCTACTTCTGGGAATTTATCCTAAGAAATAATCACTGGCCAGGTATGGTGGCTCATGCCTGTCATCCTAGCAGTTCAGAAGGCAGAGGCAGAAGGATCTCTTGAGCCCAGGAGTTTGAGACCAGCCTGGGCAACATAGTGAGACCCTGTCTCCACAAAAAGAAAAAAAAAAAGAAATAATCATTGATACATGAATATCAATTCCTGTATTTCTTATAATAGAAAGAGAATGAAAATAACTCAAATGTCCAACAGCAGGTGGCAAAATCATCTTTAATTTTATGGTTGTTTGTACCAAAATAATTACCAAGTGAACATAAAGAAAGATGAGTTATAGATTCATTGAGAAAAATATTTATTTATTAATAATGTCATGCATTGTGCTAGGAGTCGTAATACAACAAGGATTAAAGATAAAGCATACTGTCTATGGGAGGGGGTGGGGAGGAGTGATAAGTTCATTATGGTAAAGCTACGTTCAAATTCTATGGCACGACAGAACTTTTGCTGACCCTAACCAGACTGGAGAAGTAGGAGGGTTTTTGTTTGTTTTGTTTTTTTTTTTTTGCTTTTTGAGAAGTGATGTTCAAGCTAAGTACCAGAGGTTTTCACAAGTAGAAATTAACTATGGGAGAGAAGCTTGGATATCCACTAAAATCCTGGCTCCTCCTCCAGAGAACAGTGTTTGTTCTAGGAAGTGGCTGCCTCCCTGTGATTAGAATGTGAGTGAATGTAATGTGTAACACTGCAAGAAGCTTCTAGGAAGCTAAGCAAGTATGCTTTCTCCATACTTTCTCCTTGCCTTTCTGCTGACTGGATTTAGACAAGAGTGAAATGCTGACGAATGGCAGAGTCTGGGTCCTTCTACCAAGTGAAAGCAAGCCGCTTGCTGACCAGGGACGCCTACCTTGAAATTGTTACGTGAGCAAGAAATAACTTTTCTACGTTAAATCAAGAAAATGTTGGGATCTGTTTGTCACTACAGCTAGCAATAGGCTAATACATGTGCCTTTTTATTCTCAAATAATGTAGTAACTCACTTAAATATATTCACTAAGCATGTACGATATACACATCAATATGTCAAGTGCACAAAAAAACACAAAAATAACTAAAGAGATTCTGCCTGCACAGAATTTCCAGTCCAGAAGAAAAAACAGTAGCCACTTCTACAACTCTAATACAAAGCAGTGTGTATAAATTAAATCCTTAGGAGATATATATAGTAGTAGAGGATTTAAAAGGAGGGAGATATTACTTTCAGGGGGAGGTTCAAAAAAGACTTTGAAGAAATTAGAAAATGGCATTTAAACAGGATTTAGATGGCAGAAATGTAGGTAGAGGCATTCCAGAAAAAGATATAGATGGGAAAGATGTCACAGAGAATGTAATGTAAGTACTCTGGATTGCCTGGAGGGAGGGGTTCAGATAAAGGCAGTGTGAGAAATAATTAAATGATAAATTGGATGAGATTACAGACAAATCTGAATGCTGGACAAAGTGGTCTGTATTTCCTTGAGTAATGTGGTACCACAGAACAGACGTATGGTATATATTCTGAACAGAGGTATGGTTTCTATTCACAGTTATGCTTTAGAAAAATTAATACGGCAGAGACTGGAACCCAAAAGAGAAATTACAAGGCAATCATAATAGTCCAGAGTACTTAAGAGTGGTCATAGTGAGAATGCAAGATTGATTATTGAATTTGGGAGATTCGGCAGCAAAAAAGGAGTCAAAGCTGACTGAGGCTGGGAATTGAGGTAACTGAGAGGATTATGGAACCATGAATTAAATTCAAAGAGGACATGCTAGTCTGGAGGTGGAGGGCAACAAGGAGTTCTGTCTTAGAAAAAAGTGAGTACAGGACATCCAATGGAGATATATAATCTGGATCTATGCAGTAGGAATTGAGGTGCACAGGTCTGAAGATGAAAATGTTAAGAGTTATCTATTTACACGTGAGAAATAAGGCCAGAGACTGTAATAAAGTTGGCAAAGGAGATTTGAGAGAAAGAAGAAAAGCCAGAGATTTCCTTAAAATATATGCAAGGCAGGTAGAACAAAAGGCAGAGAAGGAATGGAGAGGCAGGCAGTTCAGGGGAACTAGCATCATAGGAAGCATTGGATCATGTCCAATTCTACAAGTTATTGGAGAAGGGAATTATTAATAACATTACTGTAACAGCAAATGCACAATCCAATTTAATCCTCAGGTCACCCAATGAAACACAGATTCCAGTCAATGACCGAGCAGGGATTCAGACCCTGCAAAGAACCCAGGCACTCAAGTAAAATGAACTTGGATTCTAATCTTAAATGTGCCCCTCAAAAGCTGCAGAACCACAGGGTCAAGAAAAAAATAATCCTGCCTCTGACTCTCATAAGGTGAGGATTAAATTTTAAAATGCATGTGAAGTGTTCAGCACAGTACCTGACATTATAAACACTAAGTGGAAGCTATTCTCCTCTTTTGAAGAATAAATACAGATTTTTCTCAATACAGTCTGTTGAAACAAAGATAAATCATTCAAGATTCTTAAAGGCAAGATTCTATCAAAATTTTTAAATGTGCGTACATCTGACTTAGCACTTCTGCTTCAAGGAATTTATTCTGTAGAACTGTTCCCATGTGTAAGAATGTCTACTATGGCTGGGCGTGATGGCTCATACCTGTAATCCCAGCACTTTGGGAGCCCGAGGCAGGCGGATCACCTGACGTCAGGAGTGAGACTACCCTGTCCAACAGGGTGAAACCCCATCTCTATTAAAAATACAAAAAACAATTAATTACCCAGGTGTGGTGGCATACGCCTATAATCCCAGCTACTCAGGAGGCTGAGGCAAGAGAACTGCTTGAACCCAGGAGGTGGAGGTTGCAGTGAGCCAGGACTGCACCATTGCACTCCAGCCTGGGCAACAAGAATGAAACTCTGTCTTAAAAAAAAAAAGAAAAAAAAAAGATTGTCTATTGTTTCATTGTTTGTAACAGGGAAAAACTGAAACCAATCTCAATGAGGAATGGTCACATAAACTGATACATCTGTACTATGAAATACTCAGTGCGGACCTAAGTAAATTGATATGAATGGTATTCTCCATTAAATCTTTTTTTTTTTTTTTTGAGACAGAGTCTCACTGTCACTCAGGCTGGAGTGCAGTGGCACGGTCTTGGCTCACTGCAATCTCCGCCTCCTGGTTTCAAGCGATTCTTCTGCCTCAGCTTCCTGAGTAGCTTGGATTACAGGTGCACACCACCACGCCCAGCTAATTTTTGTATTTTTAGTGGAGACGGGGTTTCGCCATGTTTGTCAGGCTGGTCTCAAAACTCCTGACCTCGTGATCCGCCCGCCTTGGCCTCTCAAAGTGCTGGGATTACAGGCGTGTGCCACCACACCTGGCCCTCTCCATAAGTGAAAAAAGACATTTCTCGAAATAATTCATATATGATTCCATTATGACCAAAAAAAAAAAAAGGAAAAAAGTGGAAGAATGAACACCAAATTAATTCTAACAAGGATTAAAAAGTAAAGAAAGACATAGACCTCTCCTTTCCAACTCCATATACTTCTGTACTGTTTCAATAAGTACTAATACATTATAATGTAATTTGAAAAATCTACGGAAGAACTTAAAAAAGGAAATGTCAGAGTATTGCTGAAGAAACACCACTGTAACAAGAGATTAACTCATTAACAATGTACATAACAAGTTAATAAACAGGAGCAAGAATTCTTCTGCTTCAGGGATTATAATACCCTAAAAGTGCTCACAAAATTGTTTGCATTTGTCTGGAGAGAAGTTCCAGTTTTTATGATGTCTATGACCCCAAAAAGGTTGTATGGGAGGGAAAATGACCAGTACAACAGAAAAGACTATGTTACACAAATAATTTCTAGTATTTTTAACTCCTGGTGAGAAAAGTAACACACACACAAACTATACATAAATCAGAAATGGTTCAAAGTAAAGTTGGCAACAGAAACAGGGTTGTAACAATCTAACTGGGTTGGTTTCCCATGTCCCACTGCATGGTTGGGTGCAAGTGTGGGAGAAGGGAGACACAGGGGTAGGCAAGGGAAGAAAAGTAAACACATTCCCCCCGCACTCCAGTTTAAGCCTGGGAGGGTCAATCTGTAAGGGTGTGTCCACTTAAGGGATAGATATAAGTACTTATTTACCAGAAATAAGGGGTGCAGAAAGAATACACAGATCCGGCAGGCAGACCCGCTTCCCTCAATCTCATCCCCCGACCCCGCCTGGTAGCCTTCCTCAGGTCCTCATGCCCAGGCCTTTCTGCCAGCTCCCATCATAAAGTGCATCTAGAGCATCCTCAGAGTGACCCACTTGCCTCTCTGAGCCTCAGTGTCCCCTTTGTGGGAGGGAGTGGGACTAGATGACCTGCGGACCCGACCTCCCATCCAGCCCTGACCTGGCAAGTCCCCTGGCCCTCCCGCTCCTTGGCCAGGGCTCGTCCTGAGACGGGCCAGCCGTCCGCACTCACTGTGCCCGCAGCTGCACTGAGGGGAGGGACTTCTTTGCGATCCTGGCCCTTGGGGCCCAGGTCGGAGGCTCCGGCAGCAGGGGTGGCTGGGGAAGCGGGCACAGCGGGCAGTGTGGGAGCCAGCGGCAGGCCGGAGCCCACCCAAGCCCCCGGCCCAGTCCGGCCTTGTCGCGGGGCTGGCCACGGAGGCGGGGCTGGACAGGCGGTGCAGGTGGCCGCGAGCTCCCACGTTCACCGCTCCTGGGGTGAGCATGCCCCGCGGCCAGCAGCCCGGCGACGCTGGGCCCGGCCCGGCCAGCGTCTCCCGAGGCTGCAGCCCTGCCTGCCCGACGCGCACCAGTTGCTAGGCGCCCGGGGACTCGGGCCTCAGTTCCATAGCGCAAGGGGCCTGTTAGGGTTCAGGGCCATGATGGGTGCTTGGACAACTTGGGCAGCGGAAGCCACTGGGACTCCTCGACCAGCACTAGTGCCTCTGCCTTCAGGTCACTGCTGCCGGAGATGGGGGTGAGGTGGGGGAGGGAGCTGAATCAAGACTGGGTGAACACTGGTCAGTGGTGACACAAGGTGAGGTGCCCAATGGCAAACAGCACCAGGCAGCATGTATAGGGCGCGGAGGGGGCAGTTGGGCCAGTTTGGTGTAATTCAATTTTCTGGGTTGTTTGCACATCAGCTTGTGTCAAAGACTTATTTTTCAGGTTCAAAATAACCAGGCTTTCCAGAGTACTGATGAGCTGTACCTTTCAAATGTTAGCCAGTTAATAATACCTGACTAGCCCAAATTAGGTAAATGACAATAAGGACGAGTTCCCTCACCAGTCCGCCCAAATTCCATGTTCTGACTCCTTTGTTTTGGTTCCTTTGTAAAAGGTTAGGTGTGTGTGCCCTCTGGCTTGGACATCTAGCACCTTTTGCACAGTGGGTCTTAGCATCTCTACTCTTGCCAGACAAAGTTATCATATAAAGCCTCTACCTTCATGACTTGACTCCCCACTAGAGCTGCAAGCTTATCCCTGGTTAATATGGTTTCAGATCCCACAAAAACTCCTGCAACTGCTCTCAATACACTTTTCTCCATTCTTATTAAGCTCTACACTAACCTTTCCTAGGTCACTTGGTTACTTTTTTAACGCTGAAATTAGGCCTGGAATTGTTAACACTGGCCCCACTACTTAGTTATGTGATCCTGGGTGAGGGAAAGTTAACCCACCTAACAAGGTGGGTTATTAAAATCACATGGAGTATGCGTATTAAAAATCACATGGAGTACTTAATTAGAAAAAAGTCTAGGGCTCATCCCAAAACCAATTACGAATTCAGTTCTGGGGTTGCAATCAAAGTGGAGAAACACTAACCTAGGATTACGTGGATCAAGTGATACACTGGCACTCAGCAAGTGATCAAATGTTTATTAAACGGTCTCCTCTTTAGTTTTGCTATCACACCCCTACCTGACACTTCAGGTGACCAAATTCTACCTCTTCTGTGAAACTTTCCAATCTTCACAGCATGAAACATCTACTGTACTCTCCTAACATGGTTTTCTAGTATTACAAATGGTTATTCATACAAAATGTAATTTCTGAGTCCTCCAAAGTAAATTATATATAGATATATATCCATAAATCCACACTCTACCCCATTCCTCCTTTTGCCATCCCCCATCACCAAATACTCAAGGACTACAATATGCCAGTAATTGAAGTCTCAAGATTTTAAATGGCTATTTTGCTGATGAGGTTAGATTCCCTTAAAAAAGTGAAGTGCCTACAATGCACCAGGTATTGTTCTAAGTGCCAGAAAAGAGAAAGCTAAGACTCAAACCTTACATTGGAGAACGGCTGGGAAAAGCAAGTCAACAGTTTCAGATAGCAATTAATGCTATGAAAAACAGTGATATAGGAAGACGTGTGTCAGAAAAGACCTTTTTCCAGAATGAGAAAGCCAAGTACCCAGACCTGGAGGCTGAAGTCACTTTTGAACAAACAATATAACTGGGGAGCCAGAAATAAAATATCAAATGGGCCTCCCAGTTTCAATGCCCTAATTACAGGGACCTGTAAATATGTTACCTTATGTAGCAACAAAAGGGACTTTGTAGATGTGCTTAAGTTAAGGATTTTGAAAAGGAGAGATTATCCTCAATTATTCAAGTAGCCCAATGTAATCACAAAAGTTTTTATATTAAGAGGGAGGCAGGAGGAAGATCAAAGACGATGTAAGCAGAGATGCCACCAGCCAAGAAATGCAAGGGGCTCCTAGAATTGGAAAAGGCAAACAAGTTTCTCTAGTCTTCAGAAGGAACACAGGCCTGCTGACCCCTTGATTGGGCTGTGAAACCTGTTTTAGATTTCTGACCTCCAGAAAAGTTAAAACAAATTCAGTCACTTAAGTTTATGGTGATTTGTTACAGCAGCAAAAGAAAACTAATACATTCATTTAACAGTGAGTACCTACTACATGTCAGCAAATGGGCAGAAATTAAAAGGCCTGGCCTTAAAGTTTACTACCTAACAGAAGGGAGGTACACCTATGGGAGGAATGTGTTAGCTCGTTGACACCGAATCTGTAAGGAAAAACAGTGGGAGCAGAAAGCTGTCATCTTCACACAGAGGTGGGCCCAAAGATACCAGACACCCGGGCCCAAAGATACCAGACACCCGCAGGAGGCTCTATCACATCCTATACATCCCCAAGGCACTCATTTCACTGTATCTGTTGCCTGTCTTCCCACTAGACCCACAACTGAAAGCAGAGGCTATTTTCCGTAATTCACTGTTGTATGCCCACATTAAGTGCTGAAGCTATACTGCACAGCAGCATTGAGCACTTTCGAGCTAGGCACTGCTCTAAGCATTTTACATGACCTGTAACATTTAATCTTCATTAAAATCCTATGAAATTAGGCACAATTATCTCCATTTTGCTGATATGGAAACCGAGACAGAGATTATTTATTGGCCCAAGCTAATAAACAAGTGGAGACTGAATATGAACCAGAGCAGTCTGGCTCCAAAGCCAACACTCCTAATCCAGCCAACCACAAATGAACCTTCAAAGAAGTTACTAGGGTAACACTGGCTAAAGGACACTGAGTCCAAGACAACTTTATAAAAAATGAGATAGCTAGGGGACGATCCACTAGAGAAAGCCAGACCTTAGAAGGATAAACAGGAAACAAACATATATGAGGTGAAATCTTGTAGAACCTACTGGGTGCCCAAACCCCTAAGGTTGGTTAGGCCTTCCAGAGGATCCCTTGAAAGTAATGACATTTATAAGAGGTGAGTTTCCCAATCAGGTGAATCTGCTTTTGAATAGGTTCCACCAGCTCATGAACATTTTCATACCTATTACTGTTCCTCACAATCCTCTTATAAAAGCAGATTGGTTATCCCACTTTACTCTCAAGAGTTCTCTATGGGAATCCCGGTTCTCTGCAACCTCTCCCACATTTCCCCATCCTCTCTGGCCCCAGGCCACACAGGCTATACAGTCAATACTTTGCCCACTTCATTTTAGGTATTCTTACACAATCTTAGCCCTCCCTGATCAGCTGAAACAGTTTTAAATACTTTGGGTGATAATGTATCAACGTAGGTTAATTGACTGTAACAAATGTACCACTATGGTGGTGAGGAGTCAACAGGAGGTTGGGCACACGACAACTGGACATGCAGGCTGGGCAACACTGGGCATATGGGAACCTTCTCTACTTTCCAGTTTTACTGTGAAATGAAAACTGCTTTAAAAAATAATGACCATTAATTTAAAAAAAAAAAAAAAGCTTTGCTAAGTATCACTCTGTATATGAAGTGCTTATTCCTATCCCAAGACTTGCCACATTTCATGCACCCACCCATCTGCACCTAGATTAAGTAATATGCCATCTGTACAACTTCATCCCATCATTAGTCTTAATTCTGACCCTGCAGAGGCCACTGATGAAGAACTCAAAGAAATTCTATTTGTCTAGCAACTTTCGAATATTAAAAAGCAATAAATGACTATGGTGCAGTAGTACCAAAATATTTACTAAGGGAGCTGTTTCACAGTGCATCAGACCTTTGACACAACTAAACGAGGACCACAAAAATTTTTACTTTCATTCTATACACTTCATGTTACACTCTACATTGTTCACTAATCTAGGTGAGACAATACATGAAATATAAAGGAGTTATTTATAAAATACCAAAACCCTCAAGTTTTTGCCCATTAATTTCACCAGATGCTCTGAAATAATTTGCATCCCTGGGCACAAATTTCATTTTTTCCTTCATAATACCCACAGTATGTAACAATTATTAGTAACTCACATAAGTATGGCAAAAGATGCAAAACAAGAACACAAAAATGGAAGGCAAAAGAAAAACAACACATTTATATGGTACTTTATAAACAAGCGAAGGCCCAAGAAATAAATTTTAGAAACTGAATTCAATTTTTTCCATAAACCAAAGTTGGATTACTGTACCTACAAATTATGTACAAATGCTTGTGAAACAGGCTTAGAATAAACCCATTTTGAATCACTCAGCACAGTTAAAAACAAAATCTTTTGTAGAGAAAAGCCTTTTAAAAACCTAAGAGATATTTTTCACAGACTCGACCCTGATTTTGCACAAAACGGGCAGATGATTTGGCTTAATTTTATCACACACCAGACTTACCACAATAGTTAAGGGAACACAGAGGCAGGCTAACCACCAAAAAAATCACAAATACAACAATGTATTTCATTTTGAGAGCAGGTACTGTTTATTAAACTGACGAGACTCGAAAAATAATCATGGTAGACACCTGAAAGGAAAAAATAAAACCATTAGAAAACACTTTAGCTAGCTAACAATTAACATAACCTAGACAGTTAAAAAGTAACGATTGAGTTTACATTTTTAAGATCTCCCAATTTCCATCTTTAAAGACTCCCCCAAACAGGCTTTTCCTTTCCTCCAGAAAGGTCCTCAAAAGCTAACCAACTGTAATCATTAAGTAAACAAACCAACTGGAATCATTAAGACAGTTGATCCCGCTCCCCACAAAAGCACTGATTAAAATTCAGACCCCCCTCAATATTTAATGGGAAAAGTATTCAAGATTACCAGCACTTGCACTCTAGCGTTAACTCGACCTTTCTCAGGATGAGGTCTCTCACCTTAGTTCATTCTTCTAATAAGCCTGTTGATCTGGTCCTCCCTGTTGCCAGCATCTCCACCTTCTACAAAATGGGTGGTCTTTTTCTTCATTCCACCTCGTGGAGAAGATAACTTGAAAGGCCACAGGAAGTTATTTGCCTCTTTGAAGCGTTTTCCAACAGTATAGATCTCATGAATCAGATCCTCCATGCAGATGATGCCATATTTACCTAAATATTTTAAGGTTAAGATCATTAAAGTTGCAAAAAGTTTTGAATTAATTGATAGACTTTAGGACACCCAACAAGAGCAACTGTAGGCTGTGAGATAAAAACACACCAGGAATAAACAAGGTAAATGCATGGCTTTATGAAGATAAGGTTCAAGCTAATGAAACCATGCCTTACGTTTTCTTTAAGCTTAACCAAGAATCACAGGGAATATATGAAGATTCACAATAGTGAGAAATGTACAGCCACAAGAGGATAGGAAGTTATCGCATGGTCAAATTTTCCCCCAAACAGAACCTACCAAGAGATCGAGCAATCAAAGCATTATCTGTCAAAGCAATTCGCTTCTTATTGATTTTGCCATAACCACGCTTGTAGATTAGCTCATTTACTGACTTCAGATTGGGGTACCTGAAGTGAAAAAGCAAACATAAATAAGGTGACCACTGTTAAAACATCTAAAATTCATGTTGACACATAGCCAATTTACCAAACAGAAATCAAAGGAGAAAAGAGACTTACCCCCATGCAATATATGGCTCTACAATCCTCAGCATGTTAATCGAAGCCTTGTTGAGCTTCACAAAGGTTCCATTGAAGATTTGACGAAGGCGCAAAAGCTGCAATACCTTTCGGACCTTTGGGCTCACGCCATTGATACTATGGTGAAAAGGGACCAGAAATGCATTTGCCTTTCATCGAAATTTTTATTAATACTAACCATTATAGTTTGGAATATCGAGTCCTACACCTAAACAGACAGGAATCCTCTCACGTTACACACTGAACTTCTGTATTCGATTAAGAGAAGGGATAGGAGCGTGAGGAACATGGCTTGCGACTAAACCATTAGTGATCACCACCCTCCTTGTTCTAGCTTCCCCTAAAATATTGTTACTCCAGTGTTTCAGAATCAGGGCTCCCAGAAGTAATGTGAAGTTTTTTTGTTTGTTTGTTTTTTTACCGGTGCTAACTCTCCCTTTCAAACCTGAATACAGTAAAACTGAATTTACCCTCTGATCCTGATGACAAACGCCAATTTGGGTTCAGCAGGTACATAGAAGTTGCCAGCTTTTCTTGCCATCCTCGCCATTCGAATTTCAGTTCTGTACATCTGCCTATATTCCTTGTGATAGTGCTTCGCTTTTTCCATACGCCATACCACCCTTGCCTTTCGAAGCTGAAACCATCATCAGTTATTTAGATTTTTAGCTCTCAATCACAATTAGCAACTGCTAGTTATTAAAAAGAATACGAAAACACGTTTCCTTTAATATTTTCTTGCCACGGTATGCATCACATCCCCCACCACCTTCAGATTGTAACATTAGGAGCTAACAATCTACTCGGTACAGTTACTAAGTAATCTTGCCAAGAACATTCACCTCATTTCAATCCCAACAAGGCGTCTCCTTATGCTAGTGCCCTCAAAAAGTTTCCTTACCATCTTTTGGGCAAACTTCTTTTCAGACGCTTTATCTTCAGCTCTGCGAAATTCCTTCGCTTTTTCTTAAGGGTTTCCGGCACAGCAGGAACCTTCTTCTTCTTCTCTCTAACGTTAACAAGCAAAAACCTTATCAATAGCTCAAAAAGCTCACAGTCCTGTATTACTCCCGTACTGAGCAGTGTTGTTTAACAGAAATGCTGTCACTGACTTTAGTCACTCGTATAACTTTACTTGCTCTGGCATGCTACAGTGTAGGATGCACATTTTAGCTCCATGTCAATAACCTTTAACACCAACCACGTTGCCTAAAACCCAATCACAAATATGACACAATAGCAATACGCTTTTACCTATTTCAACCAAGAGGCCCGGTCTCCGACGACTAAATTAAAAAAAAACAAAAAACACACCAACAGCCGAATAACAAAATGTTCCTCCCCATAATGTTCCCAGGACGAGCCTCACGGGGACGAACTACAAATCCCAGCTTAAAGACTGCTGCAAGGCACTGATCCCCGGACTTTAAGCGCAAAAATAAAAATAAAAATAAAAGGCAAGCCACCACCACCCTAGTTCAATCAGGATCCACATGTTGAAAGCAAAGGCCTAGCAGCAGGGAGGCCTGAGCCAAGCACCAGCCAAGGACTAACCCAATTCTGAGGTTCTGCGCCTACCCCCAAAGACCCTCTACCGAGGACTGGGCCGTCAGCCAACCAACGGGTTCCACACACATTCCAACTCGACATCTCGTTCCCGAGATCTCCAAAACCTCTGTCCTATAGCCGCCTGCATCCCCATCCTAGCCTCGGGTCCCCACTGGTGTTACAAAGCGTCACAAACAAGCAGGAAGGTGGGCAAAGGTGCAAGCTACAGCCAGAAAGAGAAAAAGTGACTCAAAAAGTATCTGGCTCTGGAGATGGAGAAGGATTCTCGAGAGGACGTCAAACTTACTCCGCACCCTCCATGGTTCCAGCCGGAAAAAGAGGAAGTTGGCGCATGCGCACTGTCCACTTAAAGACTTTCGAAAGAGAAGCCCCACGACTCATAGGTGTCTTAAAATAAGCCGGAAAAGAATCCAGAACTAAAAAACCTCCTTGCAGACGCAAAATTAACAACTCCCTGATTTAGCCTCTTTCAACCAACTTTCGGGTAAAACTTGTTTGAAGAAAATATATGCATTTGATTACACTTTTTAATCAATTCAAGAGCAAAGGATGCTGACACCTCGGCAACTCCGGGTCCTAATCTCCAGGCTGCGCTGACAAGATTAGGCTCGGGTTCCTCCCCATAATGTTCCCAGGACGAGCCTCATGGGGACGAACTACAAATCCCAGCATGCACCACTCCTCGCCCGCCCGGCGGGAGGGCAACGCCTGACCCGGACCGCAGGCAAGCACCGCGGCGGCGGTTCCAGCCAGGAAAATGCGAGCCTTTTGGGCCACGTTCCAAACGGCTAGCTGCAATTCGAAGTCACTTTTGGCCGCCCTCCCAGCTCCCTGCCGCGGTAGTAGCAGACTACACCCCTTTCGCCGCGCCGCGAGGTCCTTGTCGTCTCGCCAGCCCACAGGGCTGTCTTCCGCAGCGCCTGATCGCAGGCGGGGCGGTCCGGAGTGCCCTGGTTAACGAAAAGTGGCGAGCCAGGGAGCAGCGGGGACTGGACGGCCGGAGGAAGATGGCCGGGACTCTGCTGACTGCCGAGATCGGCAGGCGGAGGCCGGGACACCCCACGGGAGGGGGCGTGAGCTGCGAAGGGAGGTGCGAGGAGGGCTGAGGTTGCGGCCACCGCCGTGTGAGAGGGGCTACCCCGCTCGACTCTGCGGACGCTGGCGGGCGGGGGGCTGGGCCGGGGGCGGGGTGCGCCCGGGGGCGGGGAGGCCGGGCGGAGGGAGGGCCGATGCCGAGGCTGGCGCGGGCTCTTCCCGGTCGCGGGGTTATATAGCGCGGAGCGTGGAGCCCGCTCAGAGCCGGCCCGGAGCGCTCCGACTTGCAAGCGGGCTGTGCTGTGGAGCCGGGTGCCCGAGTGACAGCCGCGGGGAGTTCAGGGCCGGAGGACGCGAGCCCTCAGGGGCAGCTGCAGGGCGTTGGGCAGCGCTCGCCTGCGCCGAGCGAGTCTCCTCTTCCTGGCGCTCCGCCGCCCCGCACCCCACTCTCCCACCCTCTCGCAACTTGGGTCGAGTTGACAACTCCCGCGGCGACCCGCTGGCCCGTGCCGCCTCCGCTGCGCACCCCTCCCCGGGGGTGAGAGAGAGCAGGCTCGCCGGCTCCGAGGACGCTCGGGCGGCAGCTGCTTGGCCATGAGGGCAGCGCGAGTCGTCTAACTCGCGGCTGTCACCGCCACTGCAGCGGAGCCGGCCGGCTGGGCGCTGCGGGACGGGCGGGCGGCTGCCGGCAGGAGGCGCCGAGCCGGGTGACTGCCGCGGCGGGCACAGTCCGGGGCCACAGCGCCGAGCCCGGGCGGGAGTGGCCCCGCGCAGGCGGGGAGCCGTGCCGCGCACTCCAACCCGGCGGGCACATCGGGGGCGGGCGCGGGGCGCAGCCTTCTCGTCCCGGCCTCTGTGACAAGTGCGCCGGGGCCGGGAGCCCGACTGCCGGGCTCGGGGTGGGCGCGGACGCAGGCACTGGGCTCGTGCGGGGCCCCGGGCGTCGCGATGAACATCGTGGTGGAGTTCTTCGTGGTCACTTTCAAAGTGCTCTGGGCGTTCGTGCTGGCCGCGGCGCGCTGGCTGGTGCGGCCCAAGGAGAAGAGCGTGGCGGGCCAGGTGTGCCTCATCACCGGCGCCGGCAGCGGCCTGGGCCGCCTCTTCGCGCTGGAGTTCGCCCGGCGCCGGGCGCTGCTGGTGCTGTGGGACATCAACACGCAGAGCAACGAGGAGACGGCTGGCATGGTGCGCCACATCTACCGCGACCTGGAGGCGGCCGACGCCGCCGCGCTGCAAGGTAACCCGAACCCGCGCGGGAGCATTGTTGGGTCAAGCCTCTTTCCACCCCGCGCCCTACCACGGCAGGCCCCAAACCCCGCTGTGGGGTCAGCCCGGCTGCGGAGGAAAGGAGCACCCCACCGGTCTTTCGGGAGACGAGTGGAATTTGCTCCCTGATAAAGGAACGCGATCACCTCTGTATTACCAGGGAGAAGGTGCCCAGTCCTTGCGGAGGTTCGGTCTCTTTGGGGACCACGGAGGCAGGGGCGGGTTCCTAAGCCCTTTGGGGTAGGGAAGGCGGAGGGAACTTGTTACCACAGGTTTGGATCCCAAAGAAATGTCTCGCTCCGACTTAGAAGCGGCGCGATGGGAAACTGAAGTGTCTTTGGGAAGTTCTGACTCGACTGAAGAAGTGTCTGTGTTACTGTGGTCTGAACCCCTTAAACGAGAGCAGTATTGACGACTCCACTATAAGTTTAGCCTGAGGAACATAATTACATTGTTTCGCCAGCGATAAGTGCTTTAGTTACATTCCCTGAGCGTGATTGAAAGACGCCTTGCTTCCTAAGAGAAAGCTCTTGGAGAATTTAGGCTTCGTTGTAAATTTCTTACATGTTTTTGGTCACCCCAGGAAATCTGCATTTCTGGATACTTATTAACTAACCTGAATCTGAGATTTTTTTTTTTTTTTTTTTAAGCCAAAGCAAAGTCCATAACCAACCATAAATATTGGTCCAGGAAATTTGATAATGGCTCTTGCTTTTTAACAAAATTTTTCATTTTTAGGGAAAACATTTACCTGTACGGAGAAAATTGACTTGGGCACTTCTCCCCTGTATTGATAATTTATCACCAAACTTATTGATACTTGCGTTTTTAATTTAAGGGTGAAAAGGTACCATTTTCATTGGTGGTATGGAGGGGTAGCAAATACAGATTTTTGTGCTCCCTGCAAAAACCTAAAAGATAAGGGTATTCATTTTCCAGGATACCGATTTTGGTTTTTTAATTGTCAAGTTCTTATGTGGTAAAATTGCATATTTACCTGTAACTTGATTTGTGAGAGTACTTCTTAGAGGAGTCAGCTAGCCCAGTTAGAACAAGTCAGTGACCCCTACTTCTTCATTAAAAATTGTGGATTCATTTCTTGGCTTTGGATGAATTTAGATTATTAATTGCAGTTTTGATTTGTGAGTCTTGAAGTGAGTTTCTATTTTGAGGGTTCTCATACTAAAGACTAAGAGCTGTTTCTCTTGGGCCACTGTTTCCCCAAAAAAGAGGAGTGTGTAGTGTGTGTGTGTTGTTCTCTGAGCTCTGGGCTGAGATCAGTTCTTTGCAGGTGTCTTTAGCTCCAGCAAGCTGATCCCATGTGGTCTACTTGTATTGGGCTTGTCACAATTACATGGCTTTCCCCTAAGCAAAGTTATCCAGTAAATTGCTGTAATTCCCAAAGACTTCATGGGAGGAAGGCAGCTGTAAAGCTCAGTCGTTGGCAAGCCTTGCAGCGTTAGAAATTTGAAGCTCACTGTAGTATTTTTGTTTTGTGTGATCTTTGTCCTACTGATCGCCATGTGACTCACTTTCTGCACTCCCTTCTCTTTTGCATGTTTTCTCCTCATCTGGACTTCTGAGGACAGCTGGGAATGGTGAGGAAGAAATTCTGCCCCACTGTAACTTGCAGGTTTTTACGTACACCTGTGATGTGGGGAAGAGGGAGAATGTCTACCTGACGGCTGAAAGAGTCCGCAAGGAGGTTGGCGAAGTCTCAGTCCTGGTCAATAATGCTGGTGTGGTCTCTGGGCATCACCTTCTGGAATGTCCTGATGAGCTCATTGAGAGAACCATGATGGTCAATTGCCATGCACATTTCTGGGTAAATATAAACATCCTTGTTTTCTTTGCTGGGCCCTCCTCAATGAGAAGGTTGGGAAGGAGAGAGACTTCAGTGCCAGCCTGAAAGGAACCTGTACTCTGTTTCACCGCGAGATCTCCTTAGCTCTTACCTATGGTAAACTGCAGTGTATGCTGGTTACTATTAGTCGTTTTGTCCCCCCCCCCACACACTCACCCCCCAACTCAGTATTTTTGAGAGGGCAGAGGATTGAACATTTTGAACTAGTTTGAAAGATTGCCATAAAAATAACAAGAGGGAGCGTAAAACCCTGGGTTTGTTTATTTTACTTTCTGTTGAGTTTATAAAACATTGGTTGTTCTTATGAATTCCTAAAGTCAGGATTTAGGCTTCCAAATTACTGTTCAGCCACATTTTGGAAAGTGCCAAAGATTCTGAAATCAACATTTGTGCTCTGTTGGGAGTGGCCAGGCCACCCTAGCAGTCACTTCGCATCCCCTGACCATCCACAGGGTCCAGGGCATCTTCCTGTTGGAGGACGCCTCAGGACTCTCTTGGGTTAGACAGTGCCTCGTAAATATCACCCTGATAGGACCCTAGAGAGGGAAGTGAGGTGGTGAAACCTGGTAAGCTGGGGATTTAAACGATGTCCACTTCTCACCATTAAACAATGTCAGGATCTATGGAGCGGGGCAGGGCCTTCTGCTGCTCTAGGGGCAAAGGTAACCCCAGTTTTTCAGTTCAACTTGTCTTCAGTAAAAGTAGGTGTGACTCTCTCCCCTATAACTGCACACTGCTGATCCACTTTATGCTCTTTTTCCTCACAGTATTTTCCCTTTACTTTTGTAGACAAATAAGATTCAATAAAGAAGGAGTAAAGAAATAGGATTCTACTTTTTTTTTCCATAGGCGGATTAGCCTTCTAATAGAACACAACAAAGAACTGTTTCTCCTAAATAGGTCACATTAAACCTCATTAATTTTTTAGCAACTGCTTAAAAACTTAATCTGGCTTTAGAGGTACTTATTCAAATGTTGCACCTCAAACATCAAACCTTTTCTCTGCTCTTGGAGAAGCTTATTTTGATGTTTTATTTTTTAACGTGAACTTTATTTATTTATTTATTTATTTATTGAGATGGAGTCTCTCTCTGTTGCCCAGGTTAGAGTGCAGTGGCGCGATCTTGGCTCACTGCAACCTCTGCCTCCCAAGTTCAAGCAATTCTCCTGCCTCAGCCTCTCAAGTAGCTGGGACTACAGGCACATGCCGCCACACCTGGCTAATTTTTTGTATTTTAGTAGAGATGGGGTTTCATAGTGTTGCCCAGGCTGGTTGCGAACTCCTGAGCTCAGGCAATCCACCCACCTCAGCCTCCCAAAGTGCTGGGATTACAGGCGTGAGCCACTGCACCCGGCCTATTTATTTATTTTGAGATGGAATTTTGCTCTTGTTGCCCAGGCTGGAGTCCAATGGCGTGATCTCAACTCACTGCAACCTCCACCTCCCGAGTTCAAGCAGTTCTCCTGTCTCACTCTCCCGGGGAGCTGGGATTGCAGGCATGCGCCACCACGCCTGGCTAATTTTATATTTTTAGTAGAGGTGGGGTTTCACCACATTGATCAGGCTGGTCGTGAACTCCTGAACTCAGGTGATCCACCTCAGCCTTCCAAAGTGCTGGGATTACAGGTGTAAGCCACTGCACCCGGCCAACATGAACTTTATTTAATTCATTTACAAACCTCTAGAAATGAATATATAAATGACCTGAGCTTATATATGTTTTGAACAAGTAAGGAGATCACCAAATACAGTTGGGGGAACTTCAGCTTGCCTGTAGGTGTGTGTTGTGTTCAGTGGGGGTGGGGAACTGAATTAAAGTCCTGGCTGTGGCTGGGTCCCCAGTAACAGGCAGCAGGTGTCAAAGGGATGGGTTAGATGAATAAAAGGCAGTCCAACCAAATAAACTTGACATAGAATTTATCAAGAATCTTGTGTGTTTATGACTACTCCTGAGTAAAACAACTACCATTTGAAATAAAAGACATACATAAGTGGGAGGCGAAGTGTCATTTTCCTATTTGAAGAATGATAAAGATGAAGCTGCCATAAAAACTGCAGTTGATTTAAGTCAGCCCTAAACAAGTTACAGCACTATCAGTAGGTTCATTATGAACCGCAGACACTGACTGGGATTGTTTTCTCCAATCATCTTTGACTAAGATGATACAAGATTACATAACTGTAAACTTTTACCTACACAAGGTATTCTAAAGTTTAGTCATCTTGCCTACTTTCTCTGCATGATTATTTTGCTTAATTGTAAAATTTCAAATGTAATCAGGTTTTTAAGAAACCCCATGCAATCTGCAGTTAAATATTTAAAACAAGAAACCAGCTCCAGGAATACATCCAATAAAATGAGTGCTAATTTAATGTGTGTAAAGCATGGAAAATTTCATAGCCTTAGCTTTGAAAATGCACATAAATTGATATACCGTCTTTCTAATATTAGGCTACTTTTTAACATAAGGAGGAAGTCAAATCTCTAAATAGGAAAATTATTCTGGACCTGAATCTGTATACCAAGGAGGAGCATAGCACCTTCCTAGAGTCATCACTGTGCTTTGAGATGTTGCTTAACCACACAATTTAGGGAGTTCTTGGAAGCCTTGATGGTAATGACATCATTTTGTATTAAAGTATGGGAGGCTCCTGAATTCTCCAGCTGTTTTTCCCCTAAGCATCTAAACTTAAGAATTTATTTTCAATATTGAGTCAGAAAATTCATTTTAGAGTTGGAATTTCTGACTTCTTGCTGAAATTTACAAATCTTTTGAGAAGTTCTGATTCAGCAACCAAAATTTAAAGGAAAACTCAGTGTAATTTTTACAGTGAATTTTTTAACAGGGGTTAAAGAACGTCGCAAGAGCCACCTGAATTCAGCTTCCCTTCCAGTAGTCCTCTTAGGCGAAGCATTGGTGGCAACTTTTCAAACATGTTGACATTGGCATGTGCTGTTTTCCTTCCAGAAAAAATAATGAGTGTGTCTTTTTACTGTATCTGGGTGCGGAAGTTACCCCATACATTTTTAAAAGTCCATCAGCTTAGAAAAGAACTGTTCAGTCATTTGAACAGACCATCCTGAGCCAGACGTTTAAGTAACAGTTAATATCTGTTTTCATAAATAACAAATAGTATTTTGATCCTGACTCAGAGCAAAAGTGAGTGAAATAGAAAACCATGTGGACTTTCACTGAAAAGCTGTGGGCACTCCCAAACCAGTCCACATACTATTCCCCCTACCTGAAACACCCTCTTCCTCCATTCCACGTGTCTTAAGGTGTAGCTCAAGTCTCAATATAACCTTTCCTCCCCACTGCAGCACTTCTGGCCTTTTCGGATATTAGAGTTGCAAGAATCCAGAGACCTTCTTGTTCAACCCTTTGTTTTCCAGTGAAGCAGGGGTTAAATGACTCATCTAAGGTTTTTCTTTCCTTTCCATTAATCTCTCACAGCATTTGTTATCATTCTCTCAAAGTAGATGGCAAGCTGTCTGAAGGCAGTTTGTTATATACATCTTTCATCTTCCTCTGCCTGGAACAAAACTCTATTCTTAAGTCACTCAATAAATATTTGATAATAATAGGCTTAAATATTTAGAAGATAACCTATTCAGAGAATACTCACATGGATCTATGTTCTGAAGTTTTAAAAGGTAAGCATTATGGGACGGGCACAGTGGCTCACACCTGTAATCCCAGCACTTTAGGAGGCCAAGACAGGCGGATCACTTGATGTCAGGAGTTCGAGACCAGCCTGGTCAACATGGAGAAACCCTGTCTCTACTAAAAATACAAAAAAATTAGCTGGGCGTGGTGGTGTTAGCCTGTAATCCCAGCTACTCAGGAGGCTGAGGCAGGAGAATTGTTTGAACCTGGGAGGCCAAGGTTGCAGTGAGCAGACATGGCGCCACTGCACTCCAGCCTGGGTGACCGAACAATACTCCATCTCAAAAAAAGAAAGGAAAAGGTGAGCACTGTGTTGGACTAAAGCTGTGTGAGACCATTATTGCAAAGCAGGGCTGTCTCACCCTTGTTACATTTTCTTTTGCTTTCCTACATAACTTTCCATTCTTCCTGTCCCACATGTGTTCTGATTTTTACTATTTTGTGTTAGAACTCTGCTCATTGGTGTGAGGATAGTGACTTGAGAAGGCTGGTGTTGGTATGCCTATTTGAATCAAGCTCACGTTGAATGTGTAACAGCCATTCTTATTTACCAATGATTAGTTCTCAAAAAGAGGACCCCCATAGCAATTCTTTCCTTCCCTCTTAACCATGTACCATTTCTATACCGTTTGGAAGCCTTTCCTCAGCCTGGCATAATTCTGTACAGCCTTCCAGTCTGCTGTGACACGTCATCTTCCAATGTTGTTCCATTACCAGTAGCTCTCCTAGGAACCTTCTCCTGGTCACCAGTCAAGACTTAGTGATAGATTTGGGGTAGGTTCAAGTCAGCATAATCTACTGTGAAACACCCGGTACAAGACCATGGAAAATGAATGCACTATCATGCACTTTAACACTAGCAAAGAAATTATTCATGTGGGCTGTCTGTATCTGGGTGAGATGCAAAAACTTGAAAGATACCTCTCTTGGTCAAGGTGCAGTGACTCAAGCCTGTAATCCCAACACTTTGGAAGGCCAAGGAGGGTGGATTGCTTGAACCCAGGAGTTCAAGACCAGGGTTGGCAACATGGTGAAACCCTGTCTCTACCAAAATACAAAAATTAGCTGGGCGTGGTGGCACGTACCTGTAGTCCCAGCTCCTCAGGAGGCTGAGGTAGGAGGATGGCTTGAGCCCAGGGGTCGTAGACTGCAGTGAGCTGAGATCACAACACTGTACTCCATCTTGGGTGGTGAGAACCAGACTCTGTCTCAAGAAAAGGAAAAGAAAAATACCTCTCTGTACTCTACTTTGAAATATGGAAAGTTGGTCTCCATGCAAACCCATGTTTCCC